CCAAGGGGTTGTTGCCCTGCCATTGTGCCATGGAGGTCAAAAAAGGAAGTTCCATGTAGTGATGATCAGGCTGGACAGTGGAAAGATTCCAAAATGGAAGCCAGGAAGGTTAGATTCTAGTTCCAATTCTATCACTAGCTTGAGCAAGTCACTTCTCTTTGCTGGACCTCAGTTTCCCCATATATTAAATAAAGTAGATAACTTCTAAGGTCCCTTCCAGCTCTGATATTCTATGATTCACTTGCATGATGCCATGGAAAAGACATGGGCTTTGGAGTCAAAGGATCTGGGCTCAAATTCCACATCAGTTATTTCCTGTGTAACCTTGAGCAAGTCACTCAAAGCCCTCTGTGCCTTACCTTCCTCATTTCTCAAATGAGAAGTTGAACTCTGTGACTTTTAAAGTCTTTTCCAGTTCTAGATCTATAATCCCATGATTCTATGCTCCTTCTTGGCAAGGAAAGGGAGCCTATGTTAGCTGCTAATGCTTGACAGAAGGAAATGATATCCAACCATGGTGAATATTTAGCAAAAGAGGTTAGAAAGGCCAAGAGACCTAGACACAGGCTCAGTGAGGGGACTGAGGGTCTCCATATATTCTTCCCTGGCAGGGATCACACTGGTCTTTACAGTATATTTTTACTTCTCACAACATTTCCATTTGAGCCCAGGACTTTGTCTCTCCCGGGGGCCTATAAAGTTATCAGATGTCATCACTGCCCTTTCAAAACCTCGAGCCTGTCCTCGGCTCACTCTTACTCCAGGGAAACCACAGATTTCTTTGGCTCTCTACTCCACCCTCTTCCCAAGGAGCTGCCATGCTATTTGGGAATGAAAGAGTGACAATGATGAGCAGAGTTCACCTTGCTCAGGGTCACACAACTAGAAAAAGTCTGAGGTAGGATTTGAACTTGGTTCTTCCTGACTCCAGGAGCAGCATACTCTATGCATTAGTCTAACCTATATTGTCTTTGGCAGGGAAACTACAAACCATTGCCTATGGCACTTCCACATGTGTCCATCAGTGGTTACTCAAAGACTCTGTGTGTGGTGTTTGTGTGTGTGTGTGTGTGTGTGTGTGTGTGTGTGTGTGTGTGTATACCATACTGCTCTCTAATCTCATCCTTGCAAAAGCTGACTAGCTTTGAGTTGCCTTTTTTTTTTTTGGCTTTTTCCGAGGACCACCCCTGAGTCCAAGTGAGTGTTTTCAGGACCTGAGCAGTCTCCTAAAACACTCTTGGGACTTTGGTTGTTCTGGAGTGAATTGAGCTTTGGAAGGAAGTTTTGGTGAGGATTCGAAAGGCTTGCAAAGCTCTGAGACATCTGAAGGGAAAGGAGGCTGGAGGCTGGCTGCCCTGGGGCTCAATCCCTGCCCTAATATTTCACCTGCAATCTTCACCAGGCTATGGTTCCATGGGCTTGCTATCACAAGGTTCCTTCCTAAGCCAGGCCAAGTGAGAGTGAACAGTAGGCAAGAGCTTTGATCAGATCTTGTGGTCAGTCAGCCTGAGGGCCCAGTGATGGGCACCATGGATGGAGCACAGTGGAGAAGAAGGCCAACTCTTAAAGAGGACCCCTGGCAAGCTCCACATCTACTGCCAAGCTCTGACTGTTCATTTTCTCTCTGAGAAGATGTAAGGAAGGAGAGGGGAAAGGAAATGAGAATGCTTCATTCCACTCCCAAAGCCTGTTTCTGTAGCCAGATGTTGGATCCAGGAGCCCTTCAAGGCCCTCATTGTATCGGGGACCTGGCCGGGTCTCCAGAAGGATAACACTCTGCCATTAGTGCAGACAGAGCTGGGAAGGACATAGACTCCCTAGAAGTGCATCCTGTGTGGAACCTCAGGGACAACAGTACTGTGAGAGCAGAGCAAGAAGGAATTTCTGGTCAGGGCTCAGAGCAGCCCCAAGAGGTCAGGGACCTAAACATTGGTGGGGCTCAGACGCTCCCTATGGCTCCTCTTTTGCAGTCTCCTTTGGCTCTCCCAACATCTCTTCTTATCTGGGAACCTGGAAAGCTCTTACCTGCTTTTCAAGCTGTTTCTCATTTTCCTTATTCTGTCTGGATGGATTTCTTCTCCCTCTCTCCCTTTACTCCTCCCTCCCCCTACTCCTTTCCTTTTCATCCTTCCTGGTTCTAAGGGCTCATTTGTCATATTCCAGTCCCAGATATTGCTCTCACTCTCTCTCTCTGTGTCTCTCTTTCTGTCTCTGTCTGTCTCTGTCTCCGTCTGTCTGTCTGTCTCTTTCACTCTGTCTCTGTCTCTGTCTCTCTCCCTTTCTCTCCCTCTCTTTCTCTCTCCTCTTCCCTCTCTTTGTCTCTCCCCCTTTGTTTCTCTTTCTCTCTCTCCCCCTCCTCTCTCTCCTCTCTCCTGTCCCTTCTTTCTTTACTCTTCTCTTCTTTTCTCCCTTCTCTCTCTCTCTCTCTCTCTTTCTCCCCTTTTGTCTCTATTTCTCTCTCCCCCTTATCTCTTTCTCCCTCCCTTCTCTCTCTACTCTTCTCTTCTTTTTCTCCCTCTCTCCCTCCCTCCCTCTTCTGTCTATTTGTCTCTGTCTCTGGCTATCTCTGTCTTTCACTCTGTCTCTCTATCTCTCTCCCTTTCTCTCTGTCTCTTTGTTTCTCCTTCTCTCCCTCCCCTTCTCTCTCTTTCTCCTCTCCTGTCCCTTCTTTCTCTATTCTTCTTTTCTCCCTCCTCTCTCTCTCTCTCTCTCTCTCTCTCTCTCTCTCTCTCTCTCTCTCTCTCTCTCTCTCTCTCTCTTTCTCTCTCCCTCTTGGTCTTCCTTTCTCTCCCCCCTTTTCTTTCTCTCTCCCTCCCTCCTCTGTCTCTCTCTGTCTCTGTCTCTGTCTCTCTCTCTGTCTGTCTCTCTCTCTGTCTGTCTCTCTCTCTCTCTCTCTCTCTCTCTCTCTCTCTCTTTCTTACATAATCTTCCCTCAACCTTCCCTGAAGTCAGTGACCTTCATAAATCTCCAGGCACTTGATACCCAAGCAGGCACACCTCCTGCACTCTTTTGGCCTCCTGCTACTGCCCACCCAGCCTCCCTCCCCTGCTTGCCATTCTGCCTCGATTTGAGATTGTGAGCATATGTTGGCCACCCTGAAAACAAACAGTGCTTCTGACTCCTCGTGTTTTTCATGATGTGTGTTTCTATTTCTTTGATGCCCTTCTGGTCGTGCATGGAATGGTGTAGTGGAATGGGCACTGAATCTGGAGTCAGAGGACCTGGGTTCAAATCCCAGCCTTGTAACTTACTTCCTGTGTGACTCTGGGCAAGTCACTTAATGTCTCACCTAATGTCTCTGGGCCTCAGTTTCCTCATCTGTAAAATGAGGGGGTTGGACCCAATGGCCTCTGAGGTCTCTTCCAGCTCTAAATCTGTCGTCGTGATTCTAGGTATGTTATGCTGTTTTTGTTTTCCTCACCTTCCTTCTCCCTTTAACACACAACGTTGAATACTCTGTCCTTCTTGTCTCTTTGACTGTGTGTTGGTCTCCAGGTGGAGAAAACATATTCAGCTCTCACTCTCTTTCTGGTAACCCCTATTTAAAAGCTTCCAGTCTGGACACAGAATTTTAAAATCCTAGTTAAGTATGAGAAGGAAAGACCTCCCCCTCCTCCCCCCAACCACAATTGTATCACCACGGACCCTAACATCAACATTCTACCATCAATTAGATTACTATCAAATTAGGTTGATGAGTATTTAGCTGCACCGTCACCACTGACAGAGAGGCAGCTTGACATAGTGATCAGAGAGCTGGCCTTGAAATCAGGAAGAACGGGGTTCAAGTTTAGCCTCCAGCATGTCCTGGTTGTGTGACCTTGGGCCACTCAACCTTTCAGTGCTCTCTGAGCTAAGACTATAAGTTACAGAGAAGGTGCCAACCTGCATTGGTGGAGGGAGTTTCCTCGCCTGGGAATTCCCTATACCATTGAAACCGCCAGTCTAGTCCCTCCCTATCTCAATCTCTATCCCCATCACCACCATCCCCATCGCTCACAGCTACATAATCATCATCGCCATTGTTGCCAACAAAAAGCCCCAGCCACCAATGCTGCCACGACAAAAGATTGGTCATAGCGGGAGACCTGACGCCTGTCTGAGGGTCTCTCTTCTATCCCATCCTGTTGGAGGTATGTGGCCCTTCTTAATACCATCATGCCCCCCACTCGGTGTCTTGAGCAGGGAGTAAGAATGATTCCTTCTGGCCAGTCAGAAAGCTAGCCACCTATCTCTGGAGCTCTCAGCTGGCTTGACGTTGCTTCCCTCCCCCCACACGCACACACACACAAAAGCAGCTACCATTTTCAGGCCCTGGATGTGGTTGCCTCTCTGAGGGCTCTTTGCAGTATAGTCAGAAAATTCAGCCAGACCTATGGGGTTGGGGGAAACAGAACCCTTCTCTTCAGCCCCAGGCCACAGGTGGGGAATTTCTCCAATTCTCTCTGCCACTCCACCCCCGACAAAGAGCTTGCTGTGGCAGTGCTGATGGCCTACTTTTATTTATTTTTTTTTTTAGGCAACTGGGGTTAAGTGACTTGCCCAGGGTCACACAGCTAGTAAGTGTCAAGTGTTTGGTCTGAGGCCAGATTTGAACTCAGGTCTTCCTGACTCCAGGGCTGGTGCTCTATCCACTGTGCCACCTAGCTGCCCCCCCGATGGCCTACTTTTGATGATGCTTTGGGATCAAAGTAGAAAGCCCAGTTCCTTCTGGGCTTTGCCCAGAGGAGTCCTGAGCTCCTACTTCTGTCCATAGTCCTGATACCATCATCAGAATTTCACTGGAAGTTCTATCTATTGCCTATCGCCTTAGAATACGGTTTTCCACACCTTCTGACCACAAAATGAGGCCTCCATCCCGAGGCAGCAATGCCTTGGGCAGCCAGGCACTCAGCCTGATTGTTACCTTCTTTCCTGATTTCTTCTTTTCCTTTTTTCCTTCCTCACCAAACCCTATGTTTTCCCCGGCTTTTTCACATTGTTTCCCCTCCTTTCACAGTGGCAAGGACAGTTCGAAGGAGTCAGCAGGAAGAAGGTAACGTTTTCTGTGTTCTATGTTCACCTTCCCTCAGTCCAGGGCTCCCTCTCCCTCTCCTTCCCTCCCTCCTTTCCTCCGAAGGAGTTCATCTCTCCCCAAGTACTGACCTGCCTGTTTGGACATCCATGTCACTTGGGAAGCTGTGCCTTTAGCAAAAGGGTTTGCTTTGCAAGGTCCAGGCAGTTTGACTTGGCAGATAGAAGTGGCAAATCTCTTCTGGAACTCTAACGATTGAGGTGGTCCATTTACATTAGGGACTGGAACGGGACTGAGTGGAGACTCCTTCAAACAAACCTTTTTGGAGCTGGTCTTCTTCCCCCCCCTTCCAAAAAAAAAACAGCAATACTTTATGGATTTATGTCTGTTCTGTTATCTTATGTGATCCTCACATGAGCTTCCAGAGGCAGGCAGTGAGGGCATTATCATCTGCATTTTGAAGAGAAGGAAACTGAGGCACAAAAGTGGTAAATAACTGCCCAGGGTTTGGTGCAGTGTTGTGCATAGAAAATAAATGGTTCTTAAACTGAGTGGCCCATGGAAATGTTTCTTTGTATGCACACAGTACCTAGCACATTATAAGCGATTAATAAATGCGTATTGGCTGATCATCAGATAGTAGGGCTGAATTCGAACTCAGGTCCTCTGACCCCATATCCAGTGCTCCTTTCACTATGTTACAGCTGTCTCCATGGTCAGGCCATGCTTTAAGAAAGGACAAGTGAATAATCATTGTTAGAGGTCAGAAGCCCTGAGGGTGAGTTAGGACTTTCAGCCTTCACCAGCTCCTGGCTGCCGCAGACTTAGGTCATTCTGAGAAACTCCCTGGGACTTAATTTCATTCCTTGTAAAAGGGGAAGGGGACGGAATGGGAAGCATCTGAGTGGGGTGCAGGTGAGTGGACGCTGGCTAAAGACTCTGACAATGCAGAATTGCAAGGGTCATTTTCCTAGACCGACAGTCTTTGGGATGTTCTGTAGCATCCCGTGACCCCCTTTTTGGTGGCAGGGGCATCCACAGAGCTCACAATGGCCTTAATAAAAAGAATAATGTTGCTTTCTCCTGTGGCATCATTTCTGGATGCTTTCCCCTTGTCTCTGCCTTTCTTCTGCATTCTCTCACCCGTTCCTGTTTGCCAGGCTTCTCTCTCACACCTTCTACCTCCTCCCCTCCCCCCACCATCATCCCCATGGGATGGACAGGGAGGGATCCAGGGAGCTCAAGGATGGGATTTGTCCAAGTCAATGCACTGAGTCGGCAACAAAGCCAGTTCAGACTCCCTGGGCTACTGTTCTCTCCACCCCCACCCCCAACTATTCCTTACTAAACAGAACTCAACAAGACCCCAGGAAATATTTCATAAGATATTTAGGAGAGAGATATTGAGGACCTTTGGTGGACAAGCCAGGCTTTTCTTGGCTGGGAATATTTTTGCTGTTCAGAGGCACTGGGTTAGATAGCTTCTCGAGGGTGCCTTGACCAGGAATGGATTTCTCTGGTTCCCAAAGTGGGATGGCCACCCATGAGCCAACCAGGCCTGTCCCCAGGTGGCCAGGCCGAGGAGAAGAGTGTCCAAGGACCTGAGTTCTGTCATTCCTCCCCCACCAGCAGAACAACAGGACAGGAGTGCACCCCACCCCAACCTCACAGATCCCATCATCCTTGGGGATTCCCTTAGCCTCCTCTGCTCCCTTCCAGTGGTTTCTTTCCTACTGAAAAACCAGTGTCCTTTGTCCTTCCCAGCCACCCAATCTGCCTCTCTCCTGATGGCTCTTTGACCCTTGTCTCAACCTATTTCTTCTGTTTGGTCCCAACCCTAACTAGTACCCCCATCGAGCATGCTCCGGTGTCTACCAGCCACGCCTCTGCTCCGCCGCCAGCTTCTGCCCATCTGCCTGCTACTGCTGCTGCCAGCCCAGCTCGCCCAGCATCACCCCCAGCTACCTCCACCACCTCTGTCTCTGCTGACAGCCTCTCGCCTGCTTTCCAAAGGTAATGGGGCCTTGGCTCTGCTTCCCAAGGCTCGGTCCCCGGTCACGGATGGGGTTTCACCAAGGAAGATTCCCCAACGGGAAGAGCGGAAAGGGAAAGGTCAGCCCTAGAAAACCAGCCACCTGGCAGAAGAGCAAGGCCTCATTGTAAGGCACCCTGTTCTGTACCTCCAGGTGCTCACTACCCACGGTCCAGGTGGGTCACAGCACAGGCACCGAAGGAGAAGAAATGATTTTTGTCTCTGGAGTTCTTTATAATTTATAAAACATTTTCCTCACAGCAGCCCTGTGAGTCAAGAATTTTGCCTCAAAGACTTTCCTGCCTTCTCCAATCTAGCTGTGTGACCTGGGCAAGTCACAACCTATTTGCCTCAGTTTCCTCAACAGTAAAATGAGGATAATTATAGTATTTACTTCCCAGGATTGTTGTGAGATTCAGATAAGATAATATTTGCAAAGTGTTGTCTAAACCTTAAGGTGTTGTATAAATGTTAGTCATGGTGATGGTGAGTATTGTAATTATCATGATTCCCGTTTTACAGATGAGGAAACCAAGGCTCTGAAAGGCTCAGGAACATATAGCTACCAGGTATCTGAAGCAAGGTTCAAACTTGGGTCTCCTGACTCCACATCCAGGGCTTTATCCATGACATTACAGTGCCTCAGAAAGCAGTCCTCAATCAATCCTATACCAACTTACCACTTTTATTACTATGTGCCCAGATTTGTTTTGTTTTGTTTTGTTTTTTTGGCGAGGCAGTGGGGTTAAGTGACTTGCCCAGGGTCACACAGCTAGTAAGTGTTATGTGTCTGAGGCCAGATTTGAACTCAGGTCCTCTTGACTCCAAGGCCAGAGCTTTATCCATATGTGCCCAGATTTGTCCAAGCCTATCCCTGTCATCCAAAATCTGGTCCATCCAGAGACACAAGACTCATCCCTATGGAAAGTTAGCTGACAAAGCAGCACTGTCTGTCTCTAAGATGGTGTAGAGTACCTGCCCTGTAACGTTGGATTTTGGAGTCAGAGAGGCCTAGGTACAATCACTCACTAGCTGTGTGTGTCTCTAAAAAAGTCACCTACCTCTCTGAGGACTCAGCTTCTCATCTGTAAAATAGGGACTGGGTTAGGAACTAAACCTGTGGCTTCATTATTTAGGAACTCTCAGGTAGGGAGCTTCCTCTGCCAGTGAAGGTTGGTACCTTCCCTACAATTTCTGGTCTTATAGGAGTTTTTAATCCGGGGCGGGGAGGCCTGTGAATTTCTTCAGTTTGAAAATATTTTAATAAATATAAAAAGCCATATGTTGATATTTCAGCTTCATATTTCAATATAATTTCTTTCCTTTGTAATCTTATGAATTTTATTTTGTACATTTAATAACGTTATTCTAAGAAGGGGTCTCTAGGCCTCACCACACTGCCCAAGATATCCCGGACTCACAAAAGCTTTACACACCCCTGCTTTAGAGAGTTGCATACGCTGAGCATCCAGGTGGAGTGTCTTGCTGGGACAAGTCAGAGGTTTGACTGGAACTCGGGCCTTCCTAACTTTAAGGCTAGCTCTCAGTCCACTCTGTGATCTTGTCTTTCTGTTGGCAATAAGTAAGAATAATGGTGTTTATGTGAGCTCTTTTATGAGCCTGACAGGAAAAAGCCCTTTGTAAGTTCAAAAGAATTATAGAAATATCCAGTTTGTTGCTGTTGTTGCTATGAGGTGTCTGGCGAGGGATAGACCAGTGTGGGCTTCCCTTGAGCCAGAAGGGCTTCCTGGAAGAACAGGAGGAGCTAGGTCTTGAAGGATGGAGATAATTTGGTGATGTTGAAAATAGGACTGTCAGCTCCAATTTCCTCAACCTCATCCCTGACCTCTGCCTCCCATCCTTCCTCCAAGGAGGTGCCAAAGGTCAGGGTGGAGAAGGAGAAGCAAAGGGGGGCAGTAGGGTACAGTGGTAGAGTGTTGGATTTGGAGATAGTGGATCTGGATTCAAATCTTGACTGCTACTTACTGCTCATGCAGCTTTGGGCCTCACAGAGCCTCACTGGACCTTGATTTCCTTTTCTATAAAATGAAGGGGGATAAGGTCTCTTCTAGTGTTCTATATACATATTTGATCCTCTGACTATCTAATTATCAAGTTGGAGTCAGCCTCACGAGCCCCTAGAACAGCTGGGCTTTTTCCAAGACCCAGTTCTAACCTGGTAGGAAATATTGGAGATGTTTTCTGGTTCAGACAGCTAGCACCCTTGGAATGCTACCACACTCACAAGGTCTTCAGGTTTGCAGTTAGACGGGACATTAGTGAATCTCTAGGCTATTTTTTTTTGTGTCAGGGCCTGGAGGGCCTTTCCCAAGTCCTCTCTCTTCCTTTTCCTGCCTTCCTGTGGCTCCCCCAACCTTTTCTCCGCAGTCTAAGCTCTTAGCTAGGCCTTGTTCACTTAGAAATCGTCTCCTGCTCTGTCTCCTCAGCCTAGATGGCTCAGCCTCTCTCATCTCTGTGGCTTCCCTGCTATTTGTGTCCTGTTTCCTTAGCTGACCATTGCCCTCTTGTTTGTGTTTCACTCAGCTTGGAGGGGCTGAGGGCATAGGGATGTTCCCAAGGCCTGGAAGTGCGCAGGGGAAGCTCAAGATGGAGACAGGCATCATCTGTGGGGGTTTTTGTACCTAGATTTGATTTATCCTTATAAAGGATTCTTTTTTTTTTCCATGTCTTAGATTCAGGCTTATTTGATTTTCTGAGATTTTCTGAACAGGCTCCTAGGATTTTTGGAGTTGGAAGAGGTATTAGAAATTATCTAGTCCACTCCAATCCTGTCATGTTGCAGATAAGGAAACTGAGGCTGAGAGAAAGCGACAGTTATTGCATTAGTGTCAAGATTCAAGCCCGGGTCTCTCAACTCCAAGACATGTGATCTTTGCAGGACCCTGACTACTTTTCTTCCCTATTCTAGGATCAGATCTGGAAGGGACCTTAGAGGTCATTTCAATGTAACACCTTCTGTCTCTAAGCACTGTGCATAGGACTGGGCACGCAAAGTCTTATCTTTGAATAAGGTTTTTTCTTAAGAAAGTCCCTTCCTCCCCAAGAAGCTTATATTCTACTGGGTGGGGGCAGGGAACAACATGTAAAAACATAAATAAATGCAAAATCAAACAAGTTAATTTTGTGGTGGGGTGCCACTAGGACCTGGGAGAATGAAGAAGAGACTCGATAGGAGATAGCATTTGAGCTGAACCTGGAAAGGAGATCAGGATTCCAGGTGCCAGAAGTTCAGAGGGAGAACATTCCAGTCCTATGCTAAGCACAGAGGTGGGAGACATCCTACGAACAGCAAATGGGCCATTTTGGCTGCAGCATAGCATGTATGAGGAGGAGGAGAATGCCATCAGCCCAAAAAAAGCCTTGAGTCTAGTTGTGAAGGACTCCAAAGGCCAGAGAGAAATGTGTGTTTTATCCTAGAAGGAGGGTGTCTTGAGCAGGGGAGCGATATGGTCAGATCTATGCCATGGGAATACGGCAATGTAGTCAGTCTCTTCAATCTGGCAGCCAGATGGAGTTTGGGTTGGCAAAAAGAGGCTAGATGCAAAATCTGACAGTATTTTCTAGGAAAGGTGACGAAGAGCTGGCCTGGGGTGGTCTTGGGATGTGGTAAGAGCGGAGGACAAACCAGCCAGGCTTGGCCAGTGATTGGCTATGGGAGGTGAGGGCTAGGGAAGAGCTGAGGATTTCTCCAGGCTTGCAGAGTGCCTAGAAGAATGCTGAGGAAAATAGGGGAATTCAGAGGAGGAGTGAATGTAGGAGGAAAGGTCATGAGGTCTTTGTGGTTTGGGTTTTCTTTTGATTCTGGAAAGGACCTAGACTATAACATGTTAGACCTAATCACTTTCTTGGTTCAGCCTGAACGTCTGTCCCAGGATCACAAGCAAGGATTATTAGCTTAAAAAACACATAAATACCTTTGGGGGCAGCTAGGTGGTGCAGTGGATAGAGCCTTGGCCCCAGAGTCAGAAGGACCTGAGTTCAAATCTGGCCTCAGACACTTACTAGCTGAGTGACCCTGGGCAAGTCACTTAACCCCAACTGCCTCACATGAATGCATGCACACGCACAAGTGCCTTTAAAGTTAAAGTCAGTTGGACTGGCCACTAAGGAGGTCGTTAGCATCTTCAGAGAAAGCAATTTCCAAAGCAGTTTGGCAGCAGCGGTCAGTCAGTGGTGCTCTAGGAGACATAGAGTACAGTAGTGACAGCAGAGGCTCTGGAGTCAGGGGACCTGAGTTCAAGTGCTGCCTCTGATGCTTACTAGTTGTGTGACCTCAGGCAAGTCATTTGCTTTCCTTGGGCCTCAGTTTCTTCATCTGTAAAATGAGTGGGTTGGGCTAGCTGGCCTTCAAAGTCCCCTGCATGTGAAAGATCCTACAATCTTGGAAGAGACCTTGGAGCATAGCATATCAGAGCTGGATGGGGCTTTTGAGGGAATTGAGTGATCTCTGTGACTGCCTGTGACCTGTGTGCAGGGGGCCCTGGAGGCTAGCCCCCTTCTACCCCTCTTCCCTTTTCCAGGCATGGGTGGCTAAGGAAAGACCTTTCTCTGACTTCCTTTCTTGCCCCAACCAGGCTGGACTCTTCCTCTCCCAGGGGCCCTGGTCATTTGAGGGGATGGTTTTCTTTTGTATCTCGGTGCTCCTGGGGCTCCTGAAGAGATGCCTAAAGGGACCAGGTGTCCAGAGGCTTCCCCTTCATGGCCTCAGCCAAGGATCAGTTCTGGAGATCCAGACTTCCCCAGCAAAGGACCCTCCCTTCACAGCGCAGGAAGCTGAAGCCAGAGGGAAGGTGACCTGTCCTAGGTCACCCATGTACTAAGTGTCAGAGGTGGAGTTTTAACCAGGTCCTCCAACTCCTGGGTACCTGCTCTTTCCCCTGTCCCAGGCTACCTACGGCCCAGAGCTCAGCCTAATTCATCAATGGCGTCCAGAGGGAGAACCCCTCTGTGTGCTTCTGGTGAATCCTTGCTCCCACGCCTGGAGTCACTGGAAGAGGGAGCTCCAGAGAATGATGACGGGAGGTGGGGGGAGAGAGCACGATGCGGGGGGGGGGAAGAATTTAGGAAAGCAAACTTCTCAAATTGTAAGGAGCTCATTTTAAATCCTTCCCATGGAGAATAGTGCTTAGCTTTCTTGTCAGTCATCTTTGCCTTCTCCTCCCTTAGACGTGCACGCTATTTTTTTTTTCAAGAAGAAGAATGAAGCTATTAAGCATGAGGAAGGAAACCCAAAACTCATGAATGTGGTCCTTGTGACAGCCACAAAGGGCCCCTCCAGCTGGGGAGAGCTGGGTAAAGCTCCCACTGACCCTTCTGCCCTTCCCCCTCCCTCTACCACAGTCAGGCTCTAGATGGAACTCGGAGAATTGGCCACATGTCCCGAGCCTGCCCCAGGAGCAGACAGACAGGGAAGAAGAACAGGATCTCAGGGCTGTACGCCTCTTGCCAGCTGTGTGTGTGTGTGTGTGTGTGTGTGTGTGTGTGTGTGTGTGTGTGTGTGAAGGGGGCAGGGATAAATAGAGGGATCTCCCACCACTGTTTCCTAGCCTTCTTTTGAAAATCTGGCTCAGGAGGCCAGGAAAAAGAAAGGCATTCTCCTATGAGGGCCACTGCTGAGCCTCAGATCCCAGAGCTCAGAATAGGTTAGCTCAGTGCTGCCCCGAGAAGGGCAGGTAGTGGGGGAGACATCTCTGACAGTGCTCTCCATGCCTGTCTTCTCCTTAGGGACCACTCTACCCCCAGCAGCCAGGCTGGCTCAAGAGTCCAGGGACAGCTGGCGTTGTGAACTCAATGAGGAGGTCCCCCTGGGAGTGGTCCACACTCTTCTCCACGCTCCTTTGCCAGTACCTACTCTGTCCCTGGCCTCCTTGTGGTCCCATAGTTTGATATCCTTGTGCTTTCATCAGAGAATTCCTCCCCACATGACACAAAGCATGTGGAGACAGAGGATCTGAGGCAAATCTTGGCTCTGCCACTTACCACTTGGCTAACCTTGGGCCAGGGACTTGACTTCTCTGAGACTCAGTTTCTTCATTTACAAAGTGAGGAAGCTGAGCTAGATGATCCTTCCAGATTTTCATCTCCATTCTATGGAGGTCCAAACCCTTCTTAGCAGACTATTTCATGGGTTATTGTGTCAAAAAACCAACCCATCACCTAAGGCAGTCTCCTAGTGCTGGGCTTCTCCAAACTCAGGGGACTAGTCCTCAGATGACAGGCACGTGGGCTTTGGCCAGGCCAACATGCTCAGCTATATATGTATGGGGTGGGGGATGGGGAGAGCAGTAATGATGGTTATGTTGGTCATGGCATTAGCACTGTTTGGGGCCTTGTTATATTTCCTGGCATTGTAACTCTGGAAAATCAACAAGTCAACTCATTTATTCAGTATGTTCTAAATAGAGACAAAAATAGAGACAAAAAAAAAATGGAATGGTCCCTGCCCTCAGGTAGCTTAGATTCTACTACAGAAGATAATGTAGACATATATATATGCATGTATAATATATATACACTCATGTATATGTATGTATATATCCACATGTGTGGATACACATACATAAAATGTAACACATACAATGTACATACATGTATATATAACTATACATATTCATGAGTATATATAAATACATGTATATATACATATATACATATACATCTATATATATCCCTACACTGGTATATCTTCCAAATATATCTTTATCTTTATTTGGTATATATCTTTATATATATATATATATATATATATATATATATATATATATATATATATATAATTGATATCTATTTGAGATATATATGTGTGTGTGTGTATATGTGTATACATATATATACATATACACACACCAAATAATGACATATTGTATTTCCCTGGGAAAGTCACTTTACCATTGTAAGCCTCAGTTTTTCTACCTATAAAATGGGGATGATAATTCTTGCTCTAGCTATTTCAAAAGGCTGTTGTGAAGAAAACACTGAAAAGCTCCAGAAAACTGTGAGTGATCATTGGCCCAGCATTTTAAGGAGCTGGGATGTCGCCAGGCAGGTCCTCCAAGCCCCAGCATCCATGGGCCCTTTAGCAGAGGGTCTTGCTTTGTCGAGTGATGGTGGCCCAGGCCTCTGCTGTGGTGCTTCCTGTCACTGGAAGTCTTTCTGGCTCAGAAGCCCAAGCTTGGGCTCCATCCTCATGGCCCTCCAGACCTGGGTGATGTGATTTGTCTAGGTAAGTGGAGGACACAAGATGGGGTCCACATCTTGTGGCTCCAAGTCTGGGACCATTTCGGTACACAATCTAGCCGGGATAGACAGGCCCAGACAAGGGGAGCACTAACTATGACCCCCCCCCCCAGCAATCCTGGAAAGAAAACTAGATGGAGCCGGGTGAGTTGAGTCTGCATCCTGGCTCTCCTCCCTATTAGCTACACCATCTTGGCAATAGTTTTCTGTGAAATGAGAATGATTCTTGTCCTACATGTGAGATTCCATATGGTATCATACAAAGAATACTGGGCACAGAACCAGGAGAGATCTGGGATCAAATAAGTCCTACCACTGACATTCACAAGCTATATAACCATGGGCACTAAGTCACCAGTCTATCTGAACCTCAGTTTCTTCATCTGTGAAATGGGGATGATAATACCCTTCACACCTTCCTCACAGGGTTGTCATGAGGATAGAATGAGGTAAATGAGTGCTCAGCTTTTGCAAAGCTTACAGCGCTGTGTAAATGTCAGCTGCTCTTGGAACCTTCTTCTGATTTATTGAGAGGAAAGCATGAGCACCTTTTATTCTGTGGTTCTCAAGGGCCAACTAACACACACACAGCTCTGGTCGTAGAATGTTCCCTAACCTGGGTCCATTGCCTTTCTGAGAGTCCTCAGATCTCAGGGAATTGGTGAACTTGGACTATTAATACTTTGGTAACAATATCAACATAACTGTGAGGCTATGTAGTGTAGCTTTTGCATTTAAACTCGTGATTCTGAGAAGGGGCCCCTGGGTTATACCAGGGGGCCAAAAGAGAGGTGGGGACAGCTGTTCCCTCTTGAGCCTACTCCACGCACCTAGCCACAACCTCAGGTTTCTCGGTCCTTCTTTATCCAGAGAAGGGTAGAACTCCAACTGTTCGAATTAGGGATGGGTCGCCATCTCCCTTCCCAAGTTCTAGGATTTGACTTTGGAAATGTAGCTGATCACTGAGGTTTGGGCCTGAGGAAGGAGACCCTTCCTAGCTGTGACCCTGGTCAAGTCACCTTCTTTATGCCTCAATTTCCTCACCTGTAAAATGGAAATAATGCCACCATCCTGGAGACCTTGAGAAAGGAGTTCTTTCCCTAGGCATCTCTTCCTCTGTAAAAATGAAGGGGTTGAGCTAGGACAGCAGCTCTCACCTTGGAATCCATGAACTTGGGTTTTAAAAAATATATTTTGTTAATTATATTTCCATCTAATTGGTTTCCTTTGTAGTCCTATGGATTTTAATTTGTACCTTTAAAACAAGATTCTGAGAAGGGTTTCCCCAAACGCCGTCCAAGGAGTGAATGACACCAAAAGCTTAAGGACCCCAAGATCTCAAAAGGGTCTCCAAGGTCCCTTTCATTTCTATGTCCCATGATCCCTATCCTGGGACCTACTGACTCGTATGAGATCAAAGCACTTAGGGAGCCTTAACGTGCCTTGGAAATGGGAACTGTTGATCGCTAATATCATCATTCCCTAAAGCCCATTCCCTGGCATGGGCAACTCTGCTGGGGTTGCTGAGTGTCTCCTCTTGCTGACAGACTCAAAGATGGGTAGCTGGAGGGTGGGAAGAGGTCATTCTATCCATTTAAAGGAAACCAGAGGCCTTTTCTTTCAAGGGGCACCAGCAGGGTCCTGCCTTCCCCACCCAAGCTTACTAACAACTGCATTTCTTTTGATAAAATGTCTCCTTCCCAAGATCCCTTGCAAATCAATCCCCTGCATGTCTCTGTGGGGCAGGGACAGAGGGCGAGGGGGAAAGGAGAGGATAGGCGGAAAATGGGGAGGTGAGCAAAGCAGCTTCCCTGTGGGCTGCTCTGTTCACTGCTCCCCCCCTTTTTTTTAGGATCATTAGCTCTTCCTATTCCCCGGCGGCTTCGGCATCCCACGTTCCTGCCACCTATAATGAAGCTCCTGCCACCGCTCCTAAGCCCCGGGTGGTCACCACTGCCAGCATCCGGCCTTCAGTCTACCAGTCAGGTGAGAGCCCATGGACAGGTTTGTGCATATCTGGAGGAGACATAGTGTGTGTGGGGAGGTGTTGAGTGTGTGTGTGTGTTGGGGTCTAGGGGGAGCCGAGGAACTGACCAAAACTTGGCCTCCTCTTGGTGAAGAATCCCACATCTCAGGAATAGGGAAAGGGTTTGCAGTGTGAACCCCAAATCTTTCTGGTACAAGGGCCATAAGGAGTGCCTGTCTCTTAGAGACCAGGAGTTGATAGCAAGAAGGCTCTCTTTCCCCTACAAAGAGCAAGCCCTACTTGCTGGGAGCTGCCATGGAGCAGAATAATCCCTTATGCCAGCTCACCTGGCCTTCAGGGAAAGGAAGAGCTGCCTGTTTAGAGCTGGCTGGGAGATTGGCACTAGGCCAGGGCATTTCCCAGGGAGCCAGGTGGAAAGCATGAAGGCTCCTCCCAGTCCTTCCTCCCATGACCCAAGAGCAGGTAAAGGGTCAGGGCTGATTCATCAGTGCCCCCTAAAGGGAACATGTTTTGAAAATCCTCCCAACAAAGGCCTTTGCTACCAGGGGTCTTGTTGCGCAGCTGGCTCTCTCCCAGGGAGGCCTCCTACTATTCCCAGGAGGGCTTTGAGTACTGACATCACCCCCTCGTGCTCCCAGCCTCCCACCCATGAAGCAAGCATGAGGAATGAAAGTGGTCCCTCTGGACCTGTCCTTGGTGTTCTGGGACAAAGGCCTAGTTGAGTACCTTTTTAATGGGTAAGGGTTGTCCCTCGTGCCTTCATCATATGATATACCTGAAAAGAATTCTCTAGCTAAAGGTCATTGTGATCACAGTAGGGGTAGGCAAAAGCTCATTCTACCCCAAAGATATCAGTGATAGGAAGCAGGGCACCACTCAACTCCCCTTCAGCATCTTATTAGGCATAGTAAGATCTAGCTCAAGGTCAGAGAAGATGGACAGAACAAAAGAGGGGGGTTGTGTGAGCAGTAGTGGGAAGTGCACTAGCTGGGGAGCCAAGACAACTGGGCTTAAATCCTAACTGTGTCATGAGACATGGATGTGGCCACTGAGGGAATTAACTTTGCTTAACTATGCATTTTTGTTACACAGGTTTTCTTTTTCTTTATTTTTCATTGTTCAGCTGGAGAAATGGTGGCTGTGGGGATAGGGGGAGTAAAGTAGGAGGGAGAGAAAGTAAATGCTTATTAATTGAAAAAATAATGAAATATGTGGGTATGTATATATAAGTATGTGTATATATTTTATATATACTTGTATATATGTGTGTATGTATATGTATATATACATAAAGGTATATATGTATAATCCTACTTGCATGACCACAGATATTAGCCTGCATGACCCTGGACAAATCATTTAAGCTTTCTGGGTTCTCAGTTCCTCATTAGTAAAACGAGAGGGTTAGATTAGCTGATCTCTAAAGTCCTAGCTCTAAATTCTATGACACTACAGCCTGGAAATGAAGATTATTGCCATATTGCAGAGTGCCTTGAAATACAAGTCTAAGGCAATGGGGAGTTACTGACAAGTTTCTCTATAGCTCTTTGGAATCTGATGTCAGGGACCGGTTTGGTGGTATAGCTAGGTGAGGCTTAGACTATAGGAAAGGCAGGGTGACGAGAAAAGTCCAACACTGTGGACTTTTAAGAGAAGCTCAAGTACTGTGAGCTTGGTAGAACTAAAAGCATTTTGAAATGCTAAGTATAGCACCAGGAACAATGGGGCAGAATGCCAGGGTAGCCAGGCTACGGCCTTGCTTAATGTTCAGAATTCTGAAAGGAAATAGAACCTCCTTGGAGAAATGCCATCGTTCCCCAGACTCGGGCTTCTCTTAACTTTGGGAACACAAGTTCCTGGGCAAAGAGAATTTGTTGAAAAATCCCGTGCTCCCTGCCCCTTGGCAGCACCATCCACAGGAGCCATGCCTCTGGAAAAAGGCCTTCTCTTAGGGTAATGTGGGGTTGAGCACCATTTTGGGCCCCTCTTCCTTCTCAATCCTGGCCCTCTTCCAGTCCCTATCTGGTCCATTTGTCTGTGCCCCACTAGGGGGCAGCATACCCTTAGTTCCAGTTCCAGGCCCCACCGGAAAGCAAGAGCGGAATGAGGGAGCAGAGAAGCCAGCCCTCAATTGAACTCCTTCACTCCCCAGAATGATTTCAGACCTGTAGGGCTAGGGCTGAGCTTGATTGGGATTTGCTTTGGTTCCCAGCAATAAGAAGACCTCACCTACCCCCCAGACATTAACTCATTCCTGCTTGAAGGGTGGAAGGGACAGGAATTCTCTGACTTGCTTTGGAAAGGAATGGCTGGTACCGGTCTTAGCAAAAGGCACAGGCAGGCCAGGGTCATAGATGGGTTGGTATCACCAAAGTTTCCACATTTAGTCTGGGGCTGAGGGTCCCTAGGGACCTCACTAGACACTTACTTTAAGGTTTATACAGGGCTTTCCTGTGAGGTAGGCAATTTAAGAATTAAGATTCCCATTTTAGAGATGAGGAAACGGAGACTCAGACACTTACTCTTGGTGAACTGTCTTGGGAATCACATGATCATAGATTTAGCGCTAGAAGGGACGTCAGATTCCATCTAGTTTGAAACCCTCCCCTCATTTTACAGATGAGGAACCTGAAGTCAGAGAAACTTGGGTGACCTGCCAATTATCTTTGCCCTGTTAGTAAGTGGTAGAGATAGAGCTTGAGCCCAGATTCAACCCTAGAGACAATGTTCCTTTCTCCCTGTTCTATGTCACCTTCCATGTTGGTGAGTCTCCTTTGGAATCTATGGGAGAGAGTATTGTCAGGGGCTTTTGTTTGGTGGCAGGGACTAAATAACATTGGCCCCCGTTGGGCCATCAAGCATAGAGATGAAAGGTCTGGGCTCTTGGACCTAGACATTCACACTTTCCAGAGGGTCCCACCCTTGGTTTTCTCTCCACCAGCAAACGGGACTGGGTAGCTCCCCATATACTACTCATTCATGCAATCTCTGGACCCATGGTGGCATCCAGAAAAGGGAGAATGAGGCAATATGATTTCTGTATGTATTTATTTAGGGCCTTGCCAAACTCAGAGCACTCCTCAGACAGGCTCTCATCCTGGCTTTGAGTACCCAAGGGAGGAATTGGCAAGGGCTCAGGGTAGCTTCTAGTCTGAAAGTAGGGAAACTGAGGGACTGACTATTTTGTGGCCAACCAGTAAAGGAGTTCAGTCTCTGGAAAGCCCAAGTCTGCATCCTTCCACCCAACCCATGGGTCAGAAGTCCTCTTCTCTTTGCTGCCCCGACACTCCTCCCCTGGGACCCATGGGTGGCATTTCTGGAGCAGAATCAACAATCCTCTTGCAGCCTTGATCTTACCCACAGCCCCCACTCTGCTGGCGCCAGAGGTGGGGCACGCGGAGATGCTACAGTGAGGTTCCTTCTAAAAAGCCTTGGGGCCTTCATGAAGAAGGCAAGCCAGTTTGAGCGTACAACCTCTCAAGGGCCCCCAAACTGTGGGACAATACCTGGTGCACTCTCTGGAATCCCAAGGACCACAGAAAGGTGACAAACCATTGGAATAACAATCTGTAGACACAACCTTGAGTATGTTGAAATGGGGGCTCAGCTCATGAGGTTGCTGGGAGAGAAACATGGTCTTGCCAGAGGCTGAGTGAGTAAGGGCTCTTTGAAAAAAGTTGGGCAGAGAAGTTAGAATTAGTTAGGAATCACCTTATTTAATTACATAGTCTCCAAGCAGCCTTGTGAGATAGGGGGCCTTTTGAACTTGCCAATTAGAGATGAAATATCACCTTCTAATTTGGACAGGCTTAATGCCATCATGCAGAAATAGTAACATCCTCTGGGCAGGCTCTACAGAGATAGCATAGCAAGGCTCTCTTCTGCTGGTTTTAAACACTGTTTATCTTTCCAAAGTGGAAAAAGGGGAGCTGGGGGTGAGGTAGGTTGTTTGGTTCCAAGACTGATTAACAGAACTGGTAGAAGTGGAATCTTGGAGGAGAGGAAGGACACTAGGTGGAACCCATTTAATTAAAAAAAAATAGGAGGCGTAGAACTCAGTAATAATAGTAGGTAGCATTTCTACAGGTGGCACTTTAAGATTTATATTATCTCATTTGACTTTATAAAAACCCTGAAAGGTAGGTGGTTATTCCCTTTTTATAGATAAGTAAACTGAGACAATCAGAGAGACTCATCCAAGGTTACACAGCTCATAAATGTGAGAGGTAGGATTCAAACTCAGGCCTTCCTGACTCCAAGTCAAGAACTTTATCCTGTGTACCACCTAACTGCCTCACTATGTCATCTCCCATCTACCTGCCTTCTAGGTACTCAGGTGTGGCTTTTTGACTGAGTCCAAGTTTTACAGGATAAATCCTTTTCTTAAGGGGACTTGTTCTGTGAAGTTTGGAATTCAGTCAAAGGGCTGCACTTGAGGACCTAGAGGGCCACATGTGGCCTTGAGGCCTCAGGTGCCCCACCCCTGGCCTCGGCTATCCCTCATTCTGGGAGCTTCCTCCCTCCTTACTGCTGAGCACCTCCGTTCCGACCATATCTCTAATACTACCTAGGTGACCTTGGGCAAATTCCTTGTCTTCCTTGAGTGTCCTTCCTCTCACTACCCATCTTGCTTGAAAGCTTATCATGCTCTGATCCCCAGTAGACTGTGAGCACCTTGTCAGCAGAAATTATGTTTTTGCCTTTCCTGGTATCCCCTGTGCTTAGCATGGTGCCTGACACATAGTAGGTGCTTAGTAAGTCCTTCTTGATTTACAAACTCACATAGGCAAGCAAGTTAGTGCAGCATGAGGACCCATGTGAGCAGTGGATTGGGTTATCCCAGCTCAGAACTCAGTCCCCAGGACTCAGCTGCCCTGAAAGGGACTTGCCAGTGCTCTTTGAAGAGAGGTCATCCCAGTCTTGAACAGAACTCAAATTCAGCAATAGAAGATGCCCTCTATCCACCACTTAGAGCCAGACCCCCCACGTGGAGACCCTGGTTTTGCCACAGCGCCCAGACTTTAATGTCCAATTCCAAGCCTTTGTAGATAGAAGAATGTCACTAGCTCCAAGGAGTAATGACAGGGCCACAGCAGCATCTGAGCATCCATTATGAAATCAGGGAAAGCAGAGTGTTCTCTGTATTTCTGTTTCCTGATTCCCTTTGTCCAGAGCCATCAGTGGCTCCCTACTCCTAAGATAAATACACACTCCTCAGGCTGGGATTTCGGACTCTCTGAACCCAGCTCCAACTGTCCTTTTTTTAAAAAATTTTTAATTTTTTTAATTTTGGGGTTAAGTGACTTGTCCAGGGTCACACAGCTACCAACTGTCCTTCTTAATCTCATTTGACATGATTCCCTTTCACAAACTCTACACGCTGCACAAACTCTACTCTGAGCCATTGGCCCTCCCTCCTTGCTTCTGTGTGTCCACCCAGACTGTGTCCCATGTTTGGAATGCACTCTCACCTCACCTCTGATGCTCACAACCTTCCTCTTCCTTCAGGGGCTCTATTGAGATGCTGCCTCCTCCAGGAAGCCTTCTTTGCTCCCCTTCCTCTAGTTGTTAACTCTCAGCCCCTCCTCAAATGATTTTGTATTTCCTTATTTGTAGATGTGTTACATCTCCTCCACAAGTTCTATACAGGCGGCAGATGTTTCATTTTGTCTTAGGATCACGTAATAGATACTTCAAAAAGATTTACTAAATTGAATTCTAATAGTTCTAATCCCAAACACCACAGAATGACCCTAGAATCTCCCTCACCTCCAAATATACACTCCTTCCTTTTTCTTCTTTCTCTATGCTCGTCTTTTCTTCCTCTTCAAGTCATTCCTTTGTTCCTTCCCCTCTTGGTCCACCCAACAGTTGGTGAGTGGCTGGTGTAGATGCAGTGTGTGAGGGGAGGCAGAATTCCATTTCATTTCTGTTACTGGCTTAAGGCCCAAGCAGTTCTAGAGAATCAGGGGGCCTGTTTCCCAGATGCCTCCCAGACCTCCAGGTCCTTTGTTTCCCTTTCTCTTCCTACTTTTACCTCCTACTTTTACAGAGCTATGCCATGTGGGCCCCAGGAAGAACTAGGGCATGGGATTTAGAGCTGAAAGGGACCTTAGAGATTATCTCGTCCAACCCTTTCACTTTACAGAAGAGGAAACTGAGGCCTATAGAAGTTGAGCGACTTAGCCAAGGTCACACAGGCTCTTAGCAGTTGGTGCTCAGGCTCCAAATTCAGTATTCTTTCCTTGGTCAGACTGTCACATTATAGGTCATCATATCATCGATTCAGAGCTAAAAGGGACCTCCAAGGCCAGTTAGTCCAAAGACCTCCGTTTTCTGATGAGGAAACTGAGGCCCAGAGTAATCAAGTGATTTGCCCAAGTTCACACAGGTAGAAAGTAGCAAAGGCAAGATTTTAACCTGGGCCCTTCCCCCCAAATTAAATAAAACTAATGTTCTTTCCCCAGGTTTGTTTCCCAGAAAAAAGAGGCCCATACAATAGTTGTTTAGGAATAACTGACAAAGAGAGGGGGTCAGCTGCCTGTCTGGGTCATGGAGGAAAAAGGGAGTTTCTCTATTACTAAAATGGGGGAGGCACTGCATACAATGAGCAGAATCAAAGCCTGAACAGTAGCAGACTGCAAGAAGAGCAGTCATCAGGGAAAACTGCAAGTTGTGAAGTCTTTAATTGCAGAGAATGGGAAATGAGGGGCTGGGAGAAACGGGATGGAGGGGAGCCGAAGCTCCTTACCACCATTCCAGTTTTTAAACCCCCTGGGATGGATCGCCTGCTCCTGCTGGACCATTTGCGGCCGATGGGGGCTCCAGGGTGAGGAGACTCCCACTGTGCCTTTCTGGCAGTCTAGGGGAGCAGAAGAACAGTGCTTTCTGTCTGAGGGGGAGCTGGATGTGATCTTAAGAAAGGAGCAGAAAAGGCCTCCTGAAACATTTTGCCATAATGAGGGCCCTGAGTGCCTGCTGGAAGATGAGGACAAGCCCGCGTGTAGGCAGGGCATGTCTGCATCCGTCCCTGGCTTTGCAGTGGGAGAGCTGAGCATTAGAAGAGCCCAGAATTCCCTGGGGCTAGGAGCCCGGGCCTGGGGAATAAACTCATGTACTCTCTTCCTACTGTCTCTTGTTGGGTCTGTGTCTGGATCTGGTCCTGGTCCAGAAGGGGCCTGCTTTTTAGCTGCTTTCTGGCCCCCACAGCTCAGTAATAGGAATGCCAGGGAGTGAATGGTTCCTGGGAATTCAGTTAGGGACTCCAGAAGGCTTTGATTCTCTTTGCCTCCCTCTAACCACCTGGAGAAGATAGAGTGGGGGTCTGGGGAAAGCACCTGGAATAGACATTGTGGTACCTGGATCTGCCATGACTTGCCCCTACCTTGAGAAAGCTGCCTCTGAGCCTCAGCCTTCACCTCTAAAATGGGGCTAATACCATTTTCACTTTCTATCTCAGGGGGCTTTGGGAGGATGTGAAAGTAATTTGCGTAGACACTATTCAAATGTCCTCTATTACAATTTCCCCAGATCCCACACATCTTTCTGCTAGCCCCCCAACCACAGTATTTCTCATTTGGGAGAAATGGAGTAAATTTAAGCCTGTTCAGTTATGTATATTATTCGCTGGTGTCAGTTTTAGGCAGACAGGTGAGAGATAGCGCTGGGCCTGGAATCAGGAAGACCTGGGTTCAAATTCAGCCTCTGATACTTACTTCCAATATGACCCTAGGCAAGTCACTTTGTCTCTTGGTCTCAGTTTCTCATACTTAAAATGGAGATAATAACAGCACCTCCCTCCTGATCATTGTGACATTTCAAATGAGATATCTGTAAAGTACCTAGCACAGTGCCTTGCACATAGTAGGTGCTACATAAATGCTAGCAATTATTTTTTTTCTTCGGATCTCATCTCTGAATTCCAGATAGCTAACTCTTTTGTCACTGCCTTGTCTCTTAACCACACTCCAAATATGGGGAGCACAGCTTATTGGAGAGTTCCTTTAAAGAATGTTTTCAAAATATTTCCCCAGAACACCAATTTTTTAAAATTTCTGCATAATTATAATAACTCAAATTTGGCCCCAGAGAATGTGTAATGGAAAGAACACTGTCAGAGGTCCTGAGTTCAAATCTCATCTCTGCTACTTGCTACCTTTGTGACCTTGGGTGAGTTATTCAGCCTCTCTGGGTCTCCGTTTTTCAGTCTGTAAAATGAAGGGGTTAAACTGGACAGGCCCTTCGAGGTAGCTTCCAGCTTTCCAGCCTGCTAAGACCTTCTTCTTCCTGCAGGAGTGGAGGATCACAGGTGCAGAATATTTCATGTAACGTAAAAGAAGATTGATGTTCTGATGGGTTTTGTTCAAATGTTTTTAATCCCTTTCAAAAATCTTTATTATAAGAGGTAGCTTTCTGAGTAGGAGAGAGACGAGAGATATATTCGGAAATGAACATGATAAAAAAAAATCAAGATATCAATAAGCTAAGATTTGGGAAAAGAAATTCACTGTTTTGAATGAGAATTCTTAAAATACCACTTTTTCTAGTACTTCAGCTGTAAGGAACAGGCCTCATTCTCCAGGACACCTTTGCATCAGCCTACACCCTATCGCTGTTCCCATCCCACAGCCCTTTCTCATGTTGCCCAGCCCCATCAGCAACCTACAGTTTGTGGTCAGAGGGCTGGGCCCCACAAGACTAGTGAATGTGAGAGATGGGAATGATGTGCATCTCCATGTAGGGAAAGTCCACAGCTTCCTGACCCCTTCCTTTTTTCTTCTTTTTATGCTTTGGGATTACAGTACCAGCAAGCAGCTATAGCCCAGCACCAGCCACCAATTACAGCCCAGCTCCAGGAGCAACCTACAGCCCAGCCCCTGCGTACACTCCATCTCCGGCCCCAGCCTACACCCCGTCCCCAGCTCCTTCCTATAACCCTTCCCCATACAGCCCAGCCCCATCGGCAGCCTACAGCTCCAGCCTAGCGGAGCCAGCCAGCCGCCCACCATGGGTGACTGATGACAACTTCTCTCAAAAGTTCTCCCCTGGGAAGACCACCACCTCGATCAGCAAGCAGATTCTTCCTCGGGGTGCTCCGGTCCCATCACCAGGCTATACTCCTGCTGGCACCCAGGTACCCACATTAGCCCGAGGTACCATCCAGAGGGCTGAGCGCTTTCCAGCCAGCAACCGGACTCCTCATTGCGGACACTGTAACAGCATCATCCGGTACAGTCATGGGCCCTTGGGGTTGGAGAAGTGGGAAAGGGGCCCTGGCTCACAGAGAGACCCGAGGAGCCATGGGAAGAGGGCCCTCTCCTCTTCCCATGTAGGTTCTTCTTCCCCTCTGTGCTGGTAGCACCCTCTTTCCTTTGTCTCTCTATATCTATATCATAGAATCTAGAGTTGGAAGGGACCTTAGAAACCATTTTGTCTAACCCCCTCCTCTCTAGGTGAACAAACTGGCAGGGAAGTTAAGAGCTTCAGACAAGGTCACAATGCTAGTCAGGCACCCAGCCAGGACTTGAACCCAGGTCTCCAGCCACTCCGCCATGTTGGCCTGCAAACTCTGTCACTAAGGAGAAGCTCTGTGGTCATCATGGACATCAAACCTCACTTGGAGGTGTTCAGCCAACACAGATACGTGTTCATTCTGAGCCTTGGGTGCTCCCAAGGCAAGTGGCCTTGCCGTGGTGCTCTTAGGGAGCTGCTCATTTCTTGGTAAAGGGTGCCCATGGTAACACCCATCCCTTTGGGTCATTCAAGGCATCATCCCAGAAGCTCTGGAGCCAAGGGAATCTCAGAGATCTTTCAGTCCAACCTATACCTGACCTCTACAAATCCCTGACAAGGGGTCATCAGCCTTTGCTCAATGACCCCTATTGATGAGGAAGGCACCACCTCCCGAAGGGAAGGAAGCAAACATTTATTAAGCACCTACTGTGTGCCAAGCACTGTGCTAAGTGCTTTATAAAATATTATCTCATTTGAGGCAGTCTTCTCCCATTTTGGATTGTTTTAATTATTAAAAACTTTCCCCTTACTTTGAAAGGAAATTTGCCTCTCTATGATTTCTTCTAGTCATTTCTAGTTCTACCCTGCTGTGCTATGTCTTGAAGGCAATTATTACATGGCAGGTAAGTCTTCACTTCTGCCAGGTAAATGTCCCTAGTTCCTCTGACTAAGCCTGATATAGCACGGTCCTATACCCCTCACCATCCTCACTGTCTTCCTCTGAACTCTCTCCAGTTGAGCAGTATCTAGTACTTAGCATAATGCCTAGCACACAGCTGGTGCTTAATAAAGTTTCCTGAGCGACTGATTTTCTAAACTGTGGTGCCCAGAACTGAACACAAGACTCCAGATGGAGACTGACCAAAGATGAATATGGAGGGAGGAAGGGGAAGGGGGCACGACTCTTCTCTCTAGTCCTGGCTGCTGTTCCTCTCTTAAGGTAGCCTAAAACTGCATTTACTTTATTGACTACCATCACACATATTAAGCTTGCATTCCACTGAAACCCTAGATCTTTTTTTTTTCATGGAAACTATTGTCTCCTGCCTCCTGCAGTTGGGAGACTGAGTCTTTGAACCCCGGTGGAGGGTTATCCATTTATTGCAAAGCTTTATCAAATCATCTTTGATTTGGCTCATTGTTCCAGCCTGTCAAACTCCAGCGATGTTTGTCTTTGTCGTCATAGGAACTCCTTTCATCCTGTCTCCTCTCTCCCTAGGGGTCCCTTCCTGGTTGCTATGGGTCGCTCCTGGCACCCAGAAGAGTTCAACTGTGCCTACTGTAAGACCTCTCTAGCCGACGTGTGCTTCGTGGAGGAGCAGAATAATGTGTACTGTGAGCGCTGCTATGAGCAGTTCTTTGCCCCACTGTGTGCCAAGTGCAATACCAAGATCATGGGAGTAAGTCACAAAGTCAACTTTGCATCCAGCTCTTATTCTGGGGGATTTCCAGGACCCATCCACAACTCTCTACTCCTGCTCCAACCCACCACTTTTTTGCATCTGGAAAAGCAGCTGTACCATTTCCCAGATTCAGGAAGTCCAGTCCAGGGCTCTGGACCTGATGACCCCTCTCCTTTTACCCAGCAATCCAAACACACTTTCTTCTGTTAGGCAAGAAAGAAAGAAAGAAAAAATCACTCCATTTCCCAGGAATGAAGCTGTCCCAGAAGAGAAGGCTGTTAGAGGCCCCAGGGACATAGTTTCTCTGAATCAGCTTGGTGCAGGACCTTTCTCTTCCAGGGAGAGAAATTGCATTAGGTCTAGGGCATTCTGTGTTAAACTGTTCCTAGCAAGCCGTCATCTCTGTTCTGCCAGAGGTGGAGCTGAGGTCAGTCAGCTGATGCCCTCTTTTCCTTCTTTGTTTTCCTTTTTTTTCCTTTTCTTTTCCCAGGAAGTGATGCACGCTCTGAGGCAGACTTGGCACACCACTTGCTTTGTCTGTGCAGCCTGTAGGAAGCCTTTCGGCAATAGTCTCTTCCACATGGAGGATGGGGAGCCCTACTGTGAGAAAGGTATGGGGGAGATGTGTGGGAATGTTTAGATCCACCAGCGCAGTGCTTAAAAGACAGAGCATCATAGCTCAGGAAAGATCTGTGAGTGGAGTCATACAAGTTACGGTAAATGTAGCCATGCCGGGCTTGAAACCCAAGTACACTAACTCCAAACTGAGAATGCTTTTCATTAAACATTTCGCCAAACGGCCCTCCATTCCAGGAAGCAGGCAACAGGCTCTTTCAAACTTCTCTCCCTCTCTAGAGGGTAGCTCCACTGTCCTTCCCATTCCTCAGATTCACCCACTTAACCCTTCCCTCTCCTTCTTTCTCTGGCCCCTATCAGCATCCAAGCCTTGCTGATTTTCCTCCCAGGACATCTTTCTCATCAGTTTACTTCTCCCCACTCATACATCCTCTGGTCTAGGTAATCCTATATCACTCCCTTCCCTGTACTGTCTCAATAATTTCCTGATTGATATCCTTGCTCCCAGCCTCTCCCTTTCCAATCCGTCATCTACATAACTGTTAAGCTGGCATTCCTAAAACACAGATCTCGCCAAGTGATCTCACACCCACTCACAAATCCTCAGTGGCACCCCATTGCCCCTTGGTTAACGTGAAAAGTCCTTGCCTGGAACTTAAAGTTCTCCTCAATATGGTTGTCTTCTATTTTCCACTTTTATTCCATATCATTATGCACTTGTCAGTCCAGTCAGCCATACTGACCTATCAACTGTTCCTCTTACACAAAATCCCATTGATTGTCTCCAGGTTGTTACATGGTGTCCATGTTTGAAATGAATCCCCTCCTCAGCCTCATAGAATCCTTAGTGTCTTCCAACGTCAGATCAATTGTTAGCTACCCCTTACATTGGTATTTCACATATGAACAAAGCTTTAGTACTGATAATTGACTACAAACATTATAGTTTTCAGGGCTTTATGACTCTGGACAAGTCATGTTACATCTTTGGTTCTGAGCTCCCGTTTCTGTGAAACTCTTGCTTTGGGGCAAGATTGGGGGGGAGGGTAGAATAGAAGGTTGGACCAGCTGGAATCTGAGATTCCCTTCCAGCTATATATTTATGATTATATAGTAACCTTTCAGACTGACACCAGTTTTTTAATCAAAATTTAATCAAAATTTAAACAAAATTTTAGGCACAGCTATTCAACTAAGCACACATTCACCTAACCCCTACATTGTTGGCCAATCCAGGTTTCTAATGTCATGCCACAAAGCATCCACATAACTGTGTCCTATTCAAAATGTAGTCGATTTCTGATGGACTCCACCATCTTCCCAGAATGCCCATAAATGACCTGAATGAAGTCACAAAAAGTACACTTATCCAATGAGCAGATAACATGAAGGCAGGAAGGAGAACTAATATGTCAGATAGCATAATGCAAAAGATCCGACAGAATGGAGTGATGGACTGTAACTACTGGAGAAATTTAATAGGGATGAATTGAAAGTCTGCTACTTTGGTCAAAAATTTCAATTGTACAAACACAAGAAGGCACAAGTCTAGTTTAACATCAGTTGATATGAAAAAAATACATTGGGATTTCAGTGGATCACAAACTCCAGAGGAGCATCTGGGACATGTGCACATTTTCAAAGGAACAATGAGAACTGGGAAAATGTCAAGAGGAAGGCAATCTGGATGTTGAAGGACCTGGGAGATAAGTTATCAGGGAAGGAACTGGGGATGTTTGGCCTGAAAAAGAGAAGACTTGGAGTGGGGAGAGAAAAGGGAGATGGGACATGAGACCCGTCTGCAAGTATTTGAAGGATTACCATGTGGAAGTAAGAGAAGACATTCCACACAGATCCAAAGGATGGAATTAGGACCACTGGAAAGAAATTACAGAGATATACTTCAGCTCATGACCTCAATTCTGCTATTTACTTTCTATCTTCCATTCTGGACATTTTTAATCCCTTTGGAAGTTTTTAGGGAGAGAGAATACAAAATGTATATTTTTCACTCATTATAACCCCATAACTCTGAATGCCCTGAATCTTCTCAATGAGCACATACATTCTTATCCAGATTGAGAAACTGTTTTTGTTTGGAGAAGATAAGAGAAGTGACAGAAGGGAAGAGGGATATCAGTATTGAATGACATTTAATGACAATATCATGCCAAATTTCAAACTAAGATGTACTTATAGAAGTTCAAAGTCTATGTCTAGGCCAAAGCAACTCAACAGTTAAAAAAATAAATTATTCAACAGATTTCTTGTCCATATGACAGCAGACATCTAGCTACATTGAATCATGGGTTATGAGCTGGAACCTTAGAGTTCATCTAGTCCAACTCTTCTCTTTGTTTTACAAATGAGGAAACAAAGTCCAGAGATTAATAATTTATCCAAGATCACAAGGTAGTAAAGAGGAGAATCAGGATTAGAACTCAAGTGCTCTAACTCCAAACACAACACTCTCTTAACACTATACGATGCTACCTTCCTAAGACTATGGTTTTCAGTGAATTGAGACTTTGTCTTAGCTTTTTATAGACTTAAGTTGAGATGCCTCCTCACTCCCAACACATCCCTTAAAGTCATAGATATACAATTAGAAGGGACTTTAGAGGTCATCTGAGCTTACCTCTTTATTTAACAGATGAATGAAGAAGCTCAGGCCCCTAGAGGTTGAGTGACTTGCTTACGGTCACACAAAAAGGAAGTGGCATAGTTAGGGTTTGAACTGCTTCCAAATCCATCTTCTTTTCATAGCTCCATTTGCCATCTTTCCCGGATCCTTCTCAGATGTTGGGGTCTCAGTGTGTATGTTTGTTTCTTTTCAGATTACATCAATTTGTTCAGCACCAAGTGTCATGGCTGTGACTTCCCTGTGGAAGCTGGAGACAAGTTCATTGAGGCCCTGGGCCACACTTGGCATGACACTTGCTTCATCTGCGCTGTAGGTTTTCCCTTACGTGACTTAGACTCTGCCAACATCACACTGTCCCTCTGAAAGCAGAGGGAATCAAAATCGGGAGGGGACAGCCAGGGAACTGAGCACTGAATAATGGAAGAAAGCTATTGGGGTTTTTTTTCACTTGTTTGTTTGTTTTTAGGCAATTGGGGTTAAGTGACTTGCCCAAGGTCACATAGCTAGTAAGTGTCAAGTGTTTGGTCTGAGGTCAGATTTGAACTCAGGTCCTCCTGACTTCAGGGACCATGTTCTATCCTCTATGCCACCTAGCTGCCCCTCATTGGTTTTATTTACAAAAATTGTTCATTCTTTTTTTATTTCCAGTGCAAATCACAAAAACCAAATGAGACTTTGTTGACTAATCATCATGGTCCCTCACTTGGGAAAGGCGGATTTCTGTTTACTAGTGTCAGCTCTGTTCTCGATACAGGGCAAGTCAGGAGATGAGCACAGGACTGTCCATTAGCCACCTGTAATTTCTTTCTTTCTTTCTTTCTTTCTTTCTTTCTTTCTTTCTTTCTTTCTTTCTTTCTTTCTTTCTTTCTTTCTTTCTTTCTTTCTTTCTTTCTTTCTCTTTCTTTCTTTCTTTCTTTCCTTCTTTCCTTCTTTTTTTCTTTCCTGGGTCTCCTTATCATACCCAGGCCAGAAGTGCAGTAGCTCTTCACGGGCCCAATCCTCTAATTCTGATCAGCTCATTAGCTGTATGACCTTGGACAAGTCAACCAATCCCTATGAACCTCAATGTTCTCATTTATAAAATGAGAGAACATGATTGGATAATCTCTAATGTCTTCTCCACCTCTGAGAATTATGAACAGCTAGAGAGGAGCAGGAGATAGAGAACTGGGCCTAGAATCAGGAAGAACTGAGTTCAAGTCCAGCCACAGGTACTTACTAGTTCTGTGACTTTAGACAAGTCACTTAACCTTTGTCTGCCTCAGTTTCCACAACTGTAAAAAGGGGATCACAATAGCACCTACTTCACAGAATCAAATGAGATACGATTCTTAAAGCACTTAGTACGGTACCAAATATACAGTAATTGCCTAATAAATGTTTATTCTTTTCCCTACTCTCCCTTCCCCCATTTAAACTTGAGGCTGGAATTTTCTTGTGGCAAGTTCAAGGGAAGGAACTAGAAATGAGAGTATTTTTGAGCTGAATGAAATGCCACTTGAAGCATTTTAACAAGAACTTTGTTACAAGAAGCTTGCTAACCTTCAGTCGATTCAATAAGAAGTGGGAAATTCTCCTGGATGCTGAGTCATGGCTCCAATATGAAGTTGCCTACATTTGAAAGCACTATCAGAGGTGGAGAACCTGCAGCCTTGAGGCCTCGTGCGGGTTCCCTACCCCTGCTTAGGGGTGGTGCTACTAGGGTGAGTGTGGTAGAATGGGCCGATATTGGACCCAGAGCCTGCTAAGACCCTACTAGCTGTGTGACTATGGGAAAGCCACTGAACCTCACTGAGCCTCTGTCTTCTCATCAATAGCATGGGCATAATAATTTTGCACTGCCATCCTTTAAGGTTATTATGAAGAAGAAAAAGAAACCCAATGCTTCTAATGTTTACACATGAAAGGGCCTATGAAGCCTAGGTTGTTATTCTTGTTACTATTGACTTTTTCCTCAGAGGCCCTGAGCGTTTAACTCCCAACCGAGTTCTCCAGTGTATAAACAGGATATTTACAAAGTCCTTTCCAATTTCCAAGTAGGCTAATTTTCTACCTGTACACAATTCAAGCAAGCTTGAGAGTGTAAAGAAAGGTCAACAAGCACCTACTATGTGTCAGGTACAGTGCTAAGTACTTTCCAATTATTATCTCATTTGTTTCTCACAACAATCCTGGGAAGCAGGTGCTATTATGATCCTCATTTTACAGATGAGGAAACTGAGGCAAACAGGGTGAAGTAACTTGCTCGGGGTCACATAGCTAATAAGTATCTGAGGCCAGATTAGAACTCAGGAAGATGAGTCTTCCTGACTCTAGGCCCTACACTCTATCCATTGCACCATTTAGCAGCCCCCAAATCTGCTCTAGCTGCAGCTTAATGAGACAGTCATTTGCCCATCACCGGCAGGAGACGGAGGCTGGATTAGGGGACTCCTGCATCAGATGGGAGTTTGTACCAAGCTGTGACCACAGGATTATAGATAGGGCTGAAAGGGGCCTTGGAGGTCCTCTTGTCCAAGAGGAGATGTTACAGAGGAGGAGAACGAGGCCCAAAGAAACTTTCTCAAGGTCACACAGGTAAATGACAGAGTTTGGATTCGAACTCAGGACTCATTACTCCAAATTCAGCACTCAAACATGTTTACTTGTCTCACTTGCATGACTTCCAGAGGATTTGATGGCATTTCCTCTGTGAGATGGGCCCCTTTAGCACTCAGTCACACGTATAGTTGGCTTAAGGCAGGAGGAGAAGCTTTATACACAGCCCATTTAACTTCCATTAGAGCTGTAAACAGACTGTAAAAATGGACATTCTCTAGGTCATTAGTTCATATATTCATCAAATATTTGTAAGCTGCCTACTAAATGTCAGATACTGTGCTAGACACTGGAGCCATAAAGATTTTGTATTCTATCGAAGAAAAATACCAGCATAGATAAGCCAGTCCAATGTATTTCCAGAATTATGAGGGGGAGGAAAGAGAGATGTCACTGGACCTGAGTCTTACAGGAACTGCAGATTCTGAGCAGTAACACTGAGGAGGAAAGGCATCCCAGGCACCTGAGGCACTCTGTACAAAGGCTTGGGGGTGGGAAGGCAGGGAAAAGAATGATGAATTTCATAGAATCATCGATCTAGAGGGGGCAGGTGCTCAGATGCCAACTAGCTCAACCCCCTCATTTTACAGAGAAGGAAACCTGGTCCTAGGAAGTTTCAGTGACTTCCTCAAGGCCACACAGGTACTTGCCTAAGTCAGCTTCCCATTGGAAAGCAGGGGACCTGGGTTAGAATCTTAGCTTTGCCATTTATCCCCTGTGTAGCCTGGGGCAAGGCATTTCACCTCATGGTGCCTCAGTTTCCTTACCCACAAAATAAGGGAACTGGATGAGAAATCTCCAAGGTCCTTCCCAGTTCTGAATTTATAATCTTATGGGATGGAATCAGGGGAAAGAGTGGCCCATTTTGGCTGACACAGACAGCATGGGAGGAGGAGGAAAATTCATTAAGCCCAGAAAGGAAGGTGAGGTATGGTGAAGGCTCCATTCATCAAACGGGAGCTTCTATTTTCGCCTGGACCAGAAGCAATAAGAAATCCCTGAACCTTCTCAGTCACAGAAGTGACAGGTCAAGCCTGTGAATCTTCAGGATTTCCCATGTGTCCTTTAAAGTTGACTTCCATTGGAGGCCTGATCTCTTGAGCAATATGGCTGGCTCAGCCTGGCATTGTAAGCTTGTTATCTCTCCCCAAATGTTTATGTTTACCTGTTACCATAGCAGCCCACAGGTGCTCCAGCAGAGATGAGATGTTATATTAGCTAACTCCTTCCTTGGCTGCTGAGACAGCAGCACTAGCAGGAACAGGCTCCTCCTGGTCTTAATGTCCCGGCTGAAGCGAAGCTGCCCCTGGTCCTCCCCAGGATTCTTACATTCTGGTCCTTCTCTTATTGAGGCAACTCAGAGACCCTCAAGTCCATTGATCATATCAGTTCCTGGGTAGTGGGGAGTATTCCTTAGAAACTTGACTTTTTAATGAGTTCTGGCTGCCTTTAGCAGCTGTCCCATGAAGAAACAATCCAGGCTGGAGTTCACACTTTCAAATGTCAGTAAGTTAGTCTTCTGGGGCAACAGAATACACACACATCCCTGGCCTCAAGGAACTCGAGTCTTACTTGTGGATCAAACTTTACACATTAGACTAGTATGAGACAATGTAACCATGATAGGCTAGGGAGAGATCAACTTAGTTCACAACAGCTGGGAAAGGTAGAGTCTGAGATTCTTGGGGTTAGAAGAGCAGTATGGTGGAAAAGACTCAGGTTTAAATTCCAGCTCTGTTGCTTACTAGCTGTGTGATCTTACTAGCTCTGTGTCCGTTGCTTCCATTCATTCAATAAACATTCATTAAGCGTCTACTATGTACCAAGCACAGTGGTAAGCTCAGGGGATACAAAAAGAGGAAAAAGACAGACCCTGCCCTCTAGGTGCTTACAATCTAATGGGGGAGACACCATGCAAACAAATACATACAAAGCAAGCTATATACAGGGTTAATAGAAAACAATCAAAAGAGGGAAGATATTGTAATTGAGAGAGGTTCTGGAAGGCTTCCTGTACAAAGAGAGATTTTAGCTGGGACTTAAAGGAAACTAGGGAGGCCAGTAGGTCAGATCAGGAGAATCAGCTTTCTAAGCATGGAAGACAGCCAGAGAAAATGTGGTCAAATCAACAAGCATTTCTTAAGCATCTACATGATCCTTGCTGAGCACTAGGGATAAATTATATTTTTTGTATATCTATCTATCTATCTATCTATCTATCTATCTATCTATCTATCTATATATTAATATAAAGCATTCATACACAAGTGAAATCATACAAACATGTAATCGTGTGTATGCACACATATACTACATATAGACACATATTTATATATACATACATAAGCTTTTTAATAAATCAGAATTATGATTTCATTGGTAAAACTCCCTCTACCAATACAAGTTGGCAATTTCTGTACAACTTCAGTCTTAGTTCTTGAGAACACAGAGAGGTAAAGTGATTTGCCCAGAGTCACACAGCCAGGATGGGTTAGAGTTTTGAACCCAAGACTATCTGACTTCAAGGCTGGCCTTCTATCCACTGAACCACTTTGACTCTCAGACAAAGTAAATGCAAGGTAATTTGAGAGAAGAGGGACAAAAAACCCAAACTTTTTCAAAAAACAAAACCAAAAAATATTAAATTTTTTAGTGCTTGACATACGTTAATTCATTTGAAACTCATAAAATTCTCAGGAGGAAAGTAGTGAAATATTATTACAGATGAGACAACTGAGGCTTAGGCAGATTATATAAATTGCCATATATATATGGCACATGGATATTACCATGTGTGAATATGTGTGCATATATGCAAATATTACATGTATATGTCTATCTATGTACATAGCATCTCCCACAGAAAGAATGTAAGTTTCTTGAGAGCAGGAACAGTTTCACTTTTGTATCTGCATCCTTACTATATAGCACAGTGCCTAGCACATAGTAGGAGTTTAATAATTGCTTGTTGATTGATTGATTTTCAAAAAACAAAGGTCTACTGTATGCAAGGCGCTCAGGTATCCTACCATACAAAGACCAAAAACATAGTTCTTGACTTCAAGTAGTTTGCATTTTACTGATAGCATAATGGGAGTGGATGGAAAGGGGAGACAACTGGGGAGTTGGGGGGGTGGGCAAGCAAAGAGTATCCCTTTTATCATCTTATCATCTTATTGTTTATTTATATGTTTATTATTCTTATTTAACCATTTATCACTTTTATCATCTCATTTTATTATTTATTTATACATATTTTTATTATTATTATTATTCCATCATTTATCACTTTTATCATTGTCTCAGAAGAGATGATACTGGAGCTGAACCTTAAAGGAAGATAAGAATTCTGAGAAATGGGGATGAGAGAGGAATCTAGGCCTAAGGAACAGCCTGTACAGGGGCAGTAGATGGGATGTCACATTCAGGAAATAGCTCATAGGCCAGTTTGTAGAAAGTAAAGAATATAAAAGGGAATAATAGGAAACAAACTTGGAAAGGTAGATTGGAACCAGACCGAGAAAGGCCTGAAATACTCTAGGGTCAATAGGGAGCCACGGAAGGTTTTTAAATAAGAGAAGGACACAATTGACTCATAATATTTTCCTAGGACATTAACAGACACACAAGCATCCAGTCCCTATTCAGGAGTGGTGCTGGAGCCAGCTGGAACCTGCTAATCATGAATAATGCCGATCATGAAAGTCGATCATTAAAAATTCAACATAGACAAATACTACAAATGAGGGCTTAATTTATTGTTTTGCTGCTTGTCTGGACTTAGGAAAGCAATGGAGAAAATATGAATCTTGCACATTAAACATAAAAGTGTGTGACGCAGTACATTTTTCCAGTTAGTTGTTAAACATCCACCGGGACACCACTGCTCCCATTCAATGAATTTCTTTGTGATTTTGTTGTTTCTGTGACCTGTCTTTCTCACATTTTCACCATTCTTCCAGGTCTGTCATGTGAATTTGGAGGGACAACCCTTCTACTCCAAGAAAGATAAGCCACTATGCAAGAAACATGCTCACGCCGTCAATATCTAAAAGAAGTTAGAAGCCCCTGGCATCGGAGGAAACTCGATGGCCATCCCTGTTAACTACAAAAAAGGATAAATCACAATGGAAAACTTTTCTTTCTGTAGGGGAGGGAGAGGAGCTAGGAAGCCCCTGAGATCTTTTGAATTTTAGTCCTTCTTCTGTACACAAGAACATGATTTGCCAGAAGCCAACCCAAGTCTTTCCCTCAAGGAGCCGGTAATTAATCCAAGACTGGAATGGTACTTCCAAAGCTGAGGACACAATTGTGAGCACTCCAGAGTATGAAACTAAAAGCAACTTTTCCTAAGAAATACAAATATGCTCTTGAATAAGCTCAGCAAAGTAGCCGTTAGAGTTCTGGTCATTCCTTTGCTGGTATTTAACGAGAGCCCAGAATCCTTTTGAAGAGCCCTCTAGTCTGTAGCTACAGCTGGCAGAAAGAAAAACAAAAAGTCATATGCCAAAAAAAGTTCCAGTTGTAGCATATTTTTAGGCCTGGAGCTGGTAGTTTGTAAAGTAAGATAGATCCAGGCATTCCTCACCAAAAAAGGAAGCATTATTCCATTATTAATACAATGGTGCTAACTCCCAAAGCATCAAACTAGAGGCCTTTAAATAAATCACCCTGAAGCATTCTCCATACCATAAAGGGTCATCAAGAATTTTTAAAAATTGAGTGCCAAGTCAAAAGAAAGGGGTCATATTCTAGGAGAGACTGGGACATTGAAAAGGATAAAGCAAGTAGAGACATTCCTCTACTCAGCACAAAGTTAAGAAAAATTAGGTTCTTCAGCTCATCTCTTTCAGTCTTAGATGCCCAGTGTCCATCAAGTACCCATCTCGTATTCAAATTGGGATGGAAAAATGGCATGGGTGTCCCCCAAATTTGTTCTTTGGTGGAAGAGTAAGGGGATGGAGAGGACTTTGTGTAGTATTTCAATGTTGTGTCTGTTTTGAGAGCTTTCTTGGAATGATGATATTCCTGGGTCTCCACACCCATGGTTCTTCAAATGGCCACTGATTGAAGTCTTTATCAGACCCCCTTGTCAGGGCGAGAGAACCAACCTTGATACATCAGTACTGGGAAGGAGCAAAGATGGAATGTAAAAATAAATAGGGTAGCAGAAGGGATTGCCCAGCACATAGGGTGAGGGGAGCCTTAATTTCTGCCAAATTCATTGAAGATGGAGGGCAAAGGTCATGGACTGGTGGTGTTTCACAGTTATATCTGGTACCACTGTGATTAGTTCCCCTACATGGGATACATTCTTTAGCCTATGGTTTTGTCGGCTGATAAGAAGAAAGAATAGGACAATATTTACTGAATTGCTCATCTATCTTGCTGGCTAACACTTTTATGATGTTTTCTGCTTTGAGTTGTGCTAGAAAAAATTTAAACTTAACCTAGCTAGTCAATATAGCAAGTATTTATTGAGGTTGCCTTTGAGATTGTCCAAATTCCTTAAATAATGTCAGTGATGAGCTAATATGCAAAGCAGTCATTTTTAGGCTATTTCAGTGAGTAGAAGTAAGAAAGAAGTGTGATTTCTGAGTATGACGTTTTTGTTTTTTCATTCCTTTTTAGTAAGCAATATTATTTTACTCATTGACAAGGTATAGTTCGAGGTTGAATGGTGATTTCTCTCCCTTAAGCATGATCAGGTGGACTTTTTTTTGCATCCTACCACTAATTCCTGCATCCTTCCTTTTCAGGATTTTTTCCTTCCCTTTTTGACCATTTCATATATTGTAGGATAATGAAGAAGTTCCAGTTCTCTCCTGGAAACTGATACTTGTAGGGGAAAGCGCCTTAAGAATGTAAATTGAGGGTGCTAACAAATGTCACGGATTTTAAACCTTATTTCTGTGGACCTCCATGAAACCATCCATTCTCCTCCATATAGAATAAATATAGGGGCTGCTAGGTGGTGCAGTGGATAGAGCTCTGGCCTTGGATGGAGTCAGAAAGACCTGAGTTCAAATCCAACCTCAGACACTTGACACTAGCTGTGTGACCCTGGGCAAGTCACTTAACCTTGATTGCCTCACCCCCCCCTAAAAAAAACCCAACAACAACATATAGAGACTAGAGCCCTGAGTTGGCATATCTGTTTTGTACACTGATGTACTACTTTTCAGATTAGGGAGAAAGGTCGTCTAGTTATTTTTTACGGGTAGACACCAACAACCATACACCAAACTGTCACCTTCTTTAAAAATCTAACAGGCAAGGACAAAGAAATTCTGAAAACATCCAGACATATCTGTCAGGCTACCACCAAATGTTAGATTTAGAATTTCTAGCTGGGAAGAACATTCAAGATGATTTAGTCCAGCCACTGATTTTACAGATAAGTAAACTGAAGCCCAAAGTGACAAAGTGACATACCCAAAAGATGTCCACCTATGTGGTGGAGCCAAGATGTAAACTCAGATTTTCTGAGACGTATAGTTGTAGATTCCAAATTGAAAGGGATTCTAGAGGTCATTGATTTCAGCCTCTTCAATAAGGATCATTGAGGATCATGTTTCAATAAGGATTTTCACAAGCTCACATAGGTAGTAAGTGCCAGAGTCAGAATTTGAACCCAAGTTTTCAGATTCCAAATCTAGCACTCTTTCCAATGTGCCATGCTCCTTCTTTGGACCCTAAATCCAGTGTTCTTTTCACTACACCACCCTTAGCCCATTTTCCATCCTTTAACAAATTTCCTAGTGCCCAGTTTCAAGGGGAGAAGACAAGAGGAAACCCATGTTCCTTACAGCTAAAGAATATTAGCGCCCATTTGAAGGTTTTATTTTGGTCCCTTTTTCGTGAAAATTGACAAGGAAAATGAAAAGCCTGAAAAGGGAACTTGGGGAAATCAGTTTTGCTGTTACTTTTAGGTTGCTGTAGACTGTTTAGATCACACACACACAGACACACAATTCTAAAGTTGACAGAAAAAGGAAGTCTCGTAAAGTTTAGTCCTTCAGGGGTCATGAATTAGGTACAATGTTTTGTTTGAGGTTATCTCTTACTTACGGTTAATTGCATGAATGCCTAGAGTACGGAACCACACTTCTGAGTCAACATAAGGCAGTATACTTTGGATTTGAAATCTTTGTCTCCTTAGAGTAGACATCTGTTTAACATTTCTAAATATTAACTTTAGCAACAGAGTGATTTGTGTCTGTAGTGATGTGCTAGAATCTAGCTTTTACAATTTTATTTCATCCCAAATGCCTTTGCTTTTGAATTTTTTAAGAAAAAGTTTCTATTTATTAACTCAGAAGTGGAATGTCGTGCCGTTTATTAGGAGTGTGTGCCAATATATTTTGCATGGAGTTCTTGCACCAACCAATGTGAATTAAACATTGTCACAAAATAAAACAATGAAAAAGGATGTGCAAAAAAGGAGTTTTCTGTTGAAAGTTGTAAAAACCACAAGCAGGTTCAGCCAGTTGTCCCTTGTGGAGACTTTGAAGACATGGGACATGGGGGGAAAGTCAGGGACATGTCACAGTATCACGGAATCAAAAAATCTTAAAAACAAATGGGGCTGATGGAGGGTACAGCTCTTACCTAAGCAGGAATTCCTTCTATAACATCCGAACAAGTGGTCTTTGCTGATATTCACTACTTGTGTGACCTCAAGCAAGTTTCCTCAAGTTCCTGGGCCTCAGTTTCCTCATCTGCAAAATCAGAGGTTTGGACTAAATGACCTCTAAGATCCCCTGTATATGCAAGCCTAGGATCCTTTTACCTGCCATGGGGAAGAAGGGAAAGAGGAAATGAGCAAGGACCCACTACCTGTCAAAGCAGCCCATTTCTTTTTTAAATAGCTCTGTCAATGAAGCAGCTTTTTTTTATTCCATCAGGCCTAGATGTGCCAATAGGCAATCCTCCCATTGCTTCTAGTTCTGCCCTCTGAGGTCCAAGCAGGACAAAATAGCCCTTCACATCCCCTTCCCAACACCCCCTCTCCTGCCATCACCTTCTCTTCTCCCCAGTTTAGCACATCACATACAGGACTTTTACCTAACATTAATGGGAATTCAATTTTCTTATTTAATCAAACAAGATGAAAGTAGGAAAAGTTTTACATAAATATGTAAATGGAAGTGGGTTGTCACAAATTCAAGGGTGAGTCTGTTCAAAGTCCATGTACTTAAGACACTTGCCAACCAAACATTGAGGGAATATTCATTGTGAACCTAACTAAAATAACTGTAAGAGATGATGCTTCTCTGGAAGCTATAGTGTTCCTTTATTTGTTGCCTATAAATAGAGGAAATGTCTCATGACCTTTTTTATTTAATCAAGAAGTAGCATCCAGTTCATATGCCTAGGGAGGATCCAGGACTTTGGGTCCCTTGAAGAATGGAAGGCACAGAGGGGAAAGAAAAGGGATTCAGTCATTTCTCCCTCCCTCCTTAACCTCGCCCCTGGCACCATTTATTAGGCGTACCACCAATTTTAACAGAATATAAACTGCTTAAGGCATGGACTGTCTAGTATTTATATCCTTCAGTGCCTAGAACTAGTGGGGACTTATTCAATTCCTACTGATTGATTATTAATTAGAGGTATCTTGGTCCTGATAGGTTCCTAAAAAGGCAGTAGTACCCACCTGATTGCAAATCTCTCCTTATTTTCTCTGGGAAAAACAAAAAACAAAAACAAAACACAAAACTGTGGGTTTCCTAATCTGATCTAAATCCATCTAGCAATTATTAAGCAACTACTATGTTCCAGGAACAGTGCTCATCGTTAGGGATGCAAATAGGATAAATGAAACAGTCCCTACATGCAAGGACATTACATTCTAAAATGGTAAAGGGGGGAAGGGAGGAGGGGAAAGAAGGAGGAATCATTTCAACTCAAAGTTGGAGTGTCAAAAGGAAACAATCCCTGCCTGATCTCAAGGAGATTACCTTTTACTAAGGGGAAACAGCATATGCATAGCAAAGTATGTACAAAATAGTATTACAAATACGAAGCAAATAACAAAAAAAAATTGATGAAGTAGGAGAGGAAGAGGTGCTGACATTCTAGGTGTCCTCTAGCTGTCCCAGGAGTTCTACCCCTTGGCAGTGGCCCTTATTTTTTCTTGGGGCTCATTCTTATTATTTTATTTTTCTTCCTTCTTCTCCCTCTATTGAAAGTTACCAAATATTCCCCACAAGGATTTCTAATGGTCAAAGAATTACAACTTTTTAAAAAATACCCAATACTAAAGGTACACTAAATACAATTTAATTTTGAGGATTAAGAAGTTAATCAGCCCCAAATAAGGCTTGATCTTTCTTCTCTTCCTTCCTTACCTCTTCTCTTTTTCTCTTTCTTTCCCTCTTTCTTTTTCTTTCCTCTCTTCCTTTCTTTCCATCTTTTTCTTTCTCTTTTCTTTCTTTTTTTCTCTCTTGTTATTTTTCTTTTTCTCTTTTTCTCCCTCTCTCATTCTCTCTCTCTTTGTTCCTTTCTTTATCTAAATGAAAGAACTCGTCTTAGCTAATGACAAGGTTAAATCTTTCAACAGTTTTTATGATATTTGGAAGATTTGTTAACAAATGACTTAACCAGATCTTGAAAGACCTGTATGAATTGTAAGAAGACTACAATATAATATAAAAATGTCTTTGAGGTATTTTTAAAGCTCTTTTATCATTCCCAGTTGGGGTTGGAGGAAACTTAGTCTAACAGAGATAAAAGTAAACTGGTAAATTCATCCTGAGGTATAATTCAATCCAATTCCAAAAAA